ACTTCGCATGTTATCGAGTTCCTGGACGTCATCGACACGAATCTCAGCTCAGGTCAGATTGCGCAGTTTCACAAGTGTGTTCTGGGTTGAATTAAACAGTTTAATTTGAAAGCAACGGAGTTCAATTTAAACTCCTATGCTTTCAAATAGACTGGGTATAACATTAATTATTCTTGGTATTTTATTGAAATTTTGGAGAGAATGTTCAATAAGAAGTAAAATGGTGTTACGCCACCCAGTGGCGTAATACTCTGTGAAAAGCGCGATATTCGCGGTGATACGCAGTAGTCGTGATTCACGACTCGTTTGATGAACCCTCGTCACGAGTCGTCACGACTCGTGAAACACGTTTTCCACGTGTTTTCCATATCACGGGTGAAACTCCAGTGTTGGTTTCTGTACATTTTAACAACTCCTGAGCTAAGCTGAGGAAAGCAAACATATATTCCTCTAACACTGGGATTTCACTCGTGATATGAAAAACACATTTCGCTCCGCATGTGAGCAGTGAATAGCGTGTGGTATGGGGTCATCTGTCCGCTGTAATTCGCAAAAAGTTTTCAATTCACTTCATATCGCGTTCTTCACGTGAAGTTTTACACCACCTAACATAAAACGGGTGGAGCTCCATTGAAATAAGGTGAACATAACTTCACTACCACTTTCCTGCCGAACCAGGGGGAAATGTAGAAATAAAGGGACCAATGTACAGGTTGCACCCAATAACTCGCATTCTGCGAGTCGCAGAATTCAACGAGTATCCCGGTGAGATAGCTCACTAGAAAGGTCTTCACGAGCGCTTTTCAATGGAAACTTTCCTCGGTTGACGAAGGCGTGCATACTCTAGGTGCATGTATACTAAGGCTGCGGATCGGCTTGCTATGCTCACGGCTCCTGGAGTTCCGCGAGGTCTGATCGACGGGGGTCAACGGATGAAACACTTAACGATTGATCATGGCTTCCCAATTGAGAGCTAGCTGACTCCCAATGAACCTCAGCTCACCTGTTTCGTGGTCATCACAGACGCGACCACCGGGCACTGTGTCGAGGTCGGTCTTCCGTCCACCGCTACTGAAGTTAAGTTGAAGCTGTTCTGGGACCGTTGGGTGTCTTACTTTGGCATTCCTCTGAGTCTCATGTCGGATAATAGTGCGTTGGATTCTCAAATGATGCGCCACTCGTTGGCTGTTAACCATTTGGGAACTCAAGGCAATAGTTAACGGAATCTAGAGATTCTATCTACAATGGTACTCATAAAATCATCAACTAGCTTCGAGCTAAGCTAAGATTCCATAGTTGTGCACTCTGCACAACTACATCCCCCCTCCTTGAGAGGCAGCAGCATATAGTGAAGACAAAATATTCAAAAAACAGAAGTAGAACGACCCGGCGTCTTTTACGTCCTTTTACAAAATAAAAACTAGAAACGTACAAGAGATAATATAGAGAAGTCGTTAGACTAACTCAACAGTAGATCACAATGATGATCCAACTTCACTCACTACTAATATAACACTTATACATTGCAAAGCTAGGCTAGGATACGAATGGCACAATAGGGACAGATATACTTTGTGTGCTAGGATACTTATCCTACAACTATTCTCCCCTCTTTTCCTGAGTGAGGTGATCACATACAAAGAAACTTATCCTATCAAACATACGACTCAGACTGATAAAACTTATCACCATAGCTTGTGGTATTGGTCAGACCAATACTCAATCTTCTTACTGGATGCTTAACTCTTGTACTCCTTCTTAACGGCTGCTGATCTTCTTCTCTATCGACTAAAACATCTTCTATCTGCTCTTCATCACTTGGCTATACTTGCTTCAACATCAACTTCACGAGTTCACGAGTTGGGCTTGCTGCTACTGATTCATGGTTGCTCTTCTCTACTTCTCTTCTCAATAAGGGAGATCACAACGATTCACTATTGAGAACGTAAAAATCATGTACAAATGTATATTCACTACTTAGAATAAAAACAAAGGCTTCGTTACACTCTCAGTAATAGTACCAGTATTAACAATACGTGATTTAGCTACATAACGAAGTTTAGGAAATGGAGAGATCAGTCGTAAAAGATGACTAGGAAATATAGATAGGGAAGAACCACTATCAAGAATGGCCTCAAGCGTTAAGAGACCAATTTGCATAGTGATATTGCTACACGGACTCACTGAAAACTGGAGCATGCTGGGTCTCAAATTAAAATATGCTCTTGTATCAGTTACCATGTCTTGGGCTTCGAAATCAACCGCATCGAATCTTCATCATAGCCAGCATACCCGTAGTATCATCAGGTCACTTCATAGGGCAGTCCCTGGCGAG